CCCCGCTCCTGTGCACGCAGAGCCCCCGCCCGGCGCCCTTACCTTCCTCAGCTCGTCCTGGACGCTCTGCGTGTCCCCCGGAGACAGGCCCTCCTTCTGGTGCCCCGGCCCTGTCTTGGGCTCAGACTCGGGGTCCTCCCCAGAAGACGTCTCCTTCTCGCTCATCTTCATGGCTAACTCATACAGCCGGCTCCTCCGTGTCTCCTCGGCCGTGTCCACGCTGGTCCGGGAGTCTGCAGCCTCGTTGCTAAGGTCCGTCTCCGATAAGTCACTGGGCACCTGAGGGAACGCCAGAACACGAATGAGGACCCCGTTAATGTGGGCTGCGGGTCAGCCTGGGGGACCCGTGGCCCGGAGGTGCGGCGCTCTTTCCTGAGGGGAGTGCCCTCGGGGGACTCTCACTCCTGCTCTCCTAGATGCCTGCGGCTAGCACTTAGCTGGGGGTTCTCTGTACCCAGAGAAGTGCTGGACCCCTTCAAGCTTCTCACCCATGGGCCCCTCACTGGGCTCCCAGCTGGGCAGCACCTCAGGACCTCCTGAGCTCTCCTGGAACTACGTGGAATGAGGAAGCAGGGAAGACGGTGCCCTGTGGGGAGAGGGTGGCGGCCGTGGGCCCCGGCAAGGCCCCGCAGAGGGAGGACGCGGAGAAAGTCCTCACTGCCTTCGCTTTCACTGCGCACCGCTGAGAACTCAGGACTTTCACCTTGGCAAAGGGAAGAAAAGCGACAGAACACCCCTGATTGTCAGATACCTCCAGATGAACTGGGAGGAGACCAGAGCGGCAGGCTCTGACCACAGTGGCGCGGGTCGTGAATGCGGCCTGGGAGTCTTGCTGCCTGCCTGGGCGGACCTTCTCAGGCCCCGGCACTGACGTGCAAATATCAGGGATGACACAGGCAAGGGAGGACCAGAAGAGGGGCCTTGCCCCCCTGTGGCCCTGTCCCCTGCCACCCAGCTGTGGCCCAGCTGCAGGGACCTCGCCACAGCCAGCCGCCTCCCTGTCCTGAGGGGGTGGCGCCGGGCCGCTTGCTCTGTCAGATGCCTGTGCTGAGGCCTACTCAGTACCGTCTATAATCGCGTGAGCTCCGAAGGCAGAGGTCTGTACAAGGGTGATTAGAAGGAAATGTGTGAAACAGAAATTTTAAAAATCAGGTTAATAAAAAGGCCCACGGGAAGCATCTCCTTCTCTGGTCCTGAGGGGACCCATGATGGGGCCTGGAAGTGACCTGCAGCCCACTGGAGGGGGAGGAGGGGTCCCCGCCGGGGTGTGGGGACAGCTCAAGGGAAGGGGGGCTGTCAGGCAGCTTCACAGGCAGGGGTGTCCTCGATGAGGGTGCAGCAGGACCCGCGAGGCTCAGGTGCCTGAAGCTGCTCTGCAGGATCCAAGGCCAGGGCCACGCTGCTCACTAGAAGGAACAGTGCAAGCAGGAAGCTGGGAGAGGGCGCGGAGGCCAGGGCTGAGCTCCCACTCACAGCATGATGCTTGAAGCACTGGGAAGCCAGCTCTTCTGGAAGTCTCTCTGCAGGTGCGCACGCTCGGATTTCCCGAGGAGACTGCAGTTACCGGGCCCATGTGTGCCCCGGCCATCCTGCCAACTTTACAGCAGTTCTCCCTCAGCCTTGTCCTCTCCCTCCTGGAATTCTCCGAGTGTAGAGGGGCCAACGTCCGTGTCTTCAAGGCTGAGCTCCCAGGCCTGCCCTGTCTCTCCTGCCTGGAGTTTTGGGAGGTGGGGCGAATCAGAGCTTTCTCTACCTTTGGAAAAGGAGCCCACCCAAGATGTCCCTTTCGGTGGTCATGTGCCAACCTGTGTTGACTCCATCCTAGGTCCCGGTGGCCCTCCCAGTCCTGATGATGATACATCCTCAACCTGAGCTAAGTGTCGGGGTTTCTGCACCGGCGTTTACTTTATTTTAGTGGATTTCAGAGCGGGGCCTGGCTCGCTGGTTAGACAGCACTGGCGCCATCTAGCAGCAATGCACCTAGCACAGGACTTGTGAATCCCTGGGCCTGGCATCCAGACAGCATGGCCGGCTTGTCTGTCGCTGAGGACCTGGGGGCTGGGGGCCTCCTTCTCTGGCACCTGGAGGTAAAGGCTGCTGTGCTCTCCACGTATGCACCTAGAGGTATTCGCTCTCCAGCTGTGTGCTGGTGAATTTCCGGCCACTCTAACAGGCGGACAGGCACAAGAACACACAGCAAACCCCGGTCAGCTCAGCCCAGGGGAGATGGGCGACCCCACCTGGGGTTGGAGAGAAGTGAGCATGCATTCAGCACCCCAGGAGGCGGTGTGGAGCAGGAAGGCTGGTCTTTGGAAGCGTGATGTGCATGCACGACAGCCGCCACCACCGTCAGCCCATGGAGGTGGGAGAGGCTGGCATCTGCGAGCTTCTGTTATCACGGCAGCCCTTATGACAGACCAGTTGCTGTGCTGTGGAGTCCTGCCGTTTGCTGAGTCCTTTGCATCATAATTGGTTTTAAAGGCAAACAAACCCTCACTTGAGCCTGGGCACAATTACAACCGTTTCCTACAAAATACTCAGGAAATGCTCAGCATGGGATTTTGAGGTCGGTGTTTACATGAGGAATAAGCAGATTTAAAACACAGTCATCTTCCTATGACCACATGGTAAACATTTCCTTATTTAATAGGTGAATGCCTTGCTCTGGACATAACCTACATCTGTGAGAAGCAAAGTATCTGCAGTAGGTTCTGTCTGTGTTTTCCTCAACTTGGGACTGTGAGTGGGTGTGGATCAAGCTCCATGGGCCTCAGATTTTGGGGCCATGAGCCCAGGTGCAGAGCCCCTACTAACACAGGCCGGAACTGCAGGGAGGTTTCCCAACGGCATTGTGGCAACCCAGCCAAGCCTTCCACCCTCGTCCTGTGGCCCAGAGAGCTGTCTCAGGCCCTGCCATACAGAACATAGGACACAGCATCTTCAAGAGTGGTACATGTAAGAAAAAGCTTTGGTTGGTAGCTAACCCTGAGACTTAACGACTGTCCAGGAGAAAACCCAAAGAATTGAACTATAGCTTCACAAAAGTCATAATTTTGGCTGATTCTTAATGTGCAACAAACTCCTTGTTGAAAATCCCACAGCAAGGCCCCAAGGCCCCGTGACACCCGTGTGCAATTCTATTGCCGTGTTCCTGCCGGGAGCAGACCTGCGTCCGTCTCAGGTTCTCACAGGACCATGATATGTGTGTTCACAAAGCACTGGCACACTGTGAGCGCTGGTTTTCCAGACACATCCTCCGTGCCGCTTCGCCTGGGAAGGTGCGCCCTAGATACACCGTGCCGAGGTCTGGCCCGCCACACCTGCTCGCATCTGGTCCAGGGCGTGACGTGAATTTGGCTGCCTAGAAATGGCAGGATGAGCCTGGGAGAGCTCAGCCCTGCCTGGTCAGAGGTCAGAGCAGCTCTGCTGTTCACCATGTTGTCACCATCTTCTTCTCACTGCCACCGAAGAAAGGCCCCAGCCCTACACAGATCTGAAGTCAGTGGTGGAGGGGAAGGACCCCTGTGGTCTGTGTGCTGGAGGAAATTCAAGTACCATGCTGAGGCGCCTTCAAGGCCCTATGTGGGGACGTTCTCTCACCTGCTGCAGGGTTGTGTGCTGTACGGGTGGCTCACCATTTACTCTGACCCCCACCTCAGCTTACTGCCAACTCCAGCACTGGTCAAAGTGACCCCCTGGGATTCAGAGCTACAGCTCAGGAGCGGACACCCACTCCTGTACTGTCCCCAGACTTACTCCTGGAGTGGCGAAGGTGTGGGAGCTGGTGTAGCCTCACTTGACTGAACTGTGTGGGGTGCTGAGTGACTGGAAGAAGCAGCCCCGGAAGCAGGTGTCCTGCAGAGCAGTTTATAGGGAGCTGCTGTGCCCCGTGGCCTCCCCGAAAGGATCCTGCATGGTTTGGACCTCGAATGCTCCCAAAGGCGCGTGGAGTGCAGGCTGCTGTGGACCTTTAGCAGGCAAGGGCTCGTAGAAGGAAGTCAGGTCTTGGCGGCACCAAGAGGGGCATGTGGGGAGACCGGCCCCTTCCGGCCACTGTGAGGTGAACACCTTTCTCTGCCGCAGCCCCCGCCCCCATGATACGCCGCCTCACCCCTGCCTGACAGCATCGGCCAACCACGGACCGACACGCTGAGACCGAGAGCCACAACAAATCCTCCCCTCTGATCTGGTGGTCTGAGGTTTGTCATCACAGTACAGAAAGTGCACCAGCACGGGCCCACAGGCTGAATTCCTCCTGGATCTCCGCGCCCGGAGCAGCACCCTCGAGGAACAGGATTCCGTTCTGTCCTAATTTCCTTGACTCAGGACACTGCTCATTCACTCTTCTCTGGCCTTCTGAAAACTCGGGGAGAAGTTCGGCGATCTCCAGCCTGTGATCAGGACCTCTCCGCATCTGCTTTGTGCACATGCATTACTGCTGGCCTCAGCTTATCTTTCTTACTGTTTTTTTCTTTTTTTTATTACCTTTGTCCTATTTTTTCATCATTACATTTTACTTTTATTTGTTCCATTTATATTGATGTTAACCACTTCAAATTATTTCTGGGGCAAGGCACATGCATATTAAATAAAGGAATGTTTATAGGTGATGAATTACACAGAACTAGGAGCTCCTCACCGTGGCAAGATACTTAGTGCATTTTAGGGAACAATCAGGCCCTGCAGTGCCGGCTTGGGGTGACTTTCCCGGAGAAGTGAGTTTGGATAACGAGCACCACGGAAGACGACATGTGGGGGAGCCGGCACCGCAGCTCCTGTGGTCGGCCCTGGTGTCTAGGTCAGGCAGAGGCGTCGCGCCTGCAAACTCTCACTGAGCACCCCAGATTTCCTGCCAACACTGTGCAGCGGCAGAAAAGGGTGAACAGGCACAACTTAAGGAGCAGCAGGCGTCAGCCGGTTGCCAGGCAAGGAAGGAAGAAGTCTTCACTCCGCCCAAGGCCACAGGAGGGGGCTGAGAGATACGCTTCGTAGTCACCCTTTCTGCCTTCAGAGTGCGCAGAAGTGCGGCCCCTCCTCTGCTCAGCCTCAAGCCTTGGTCCAGAAAGACAAATGCTCACCCCCAGCACCGAACAGCCAGGGCGAGAAGGGCTGGGTGTTCGGTGTCTCTACCATCTGTCCCTTCGTTCCACACCTACGCAGCATCATGGCCAGGTTCAGAGACAGCCAGACAGTAAGACTGGGACAGAGCTTACTGCGGCTCAGCGTGGGAAGGTCTGCATATGGTAGACACAGGCAAAGCTCGGTGTGGGGACAGCAAG